AAAAAAAAAAAAAGAAAATGTAGCGTCAACATTTCAACAACTTTCTCAACAGGACCCCTGAAGCTCAGAAAAAAAATGCCAGGAGTTAGTAAATGGGATGGCATCAATTTAAAAATCTTCTGCATAGCAAAGGAAGCAATTAAGAATATAAAAAGAGGGGCTGGGGTTGTGGCTCAGCATAGAGCGCTAGCCTAGCATGTATGAGGCCCTGGATTCGATCCTTAGCACCACATAAAAATGAATTTAAAAAAATGTACAATACCTTTCTGTCCAACTACAACTAAAAAATAAAAAAATAAAAATTAAAAAGAATACAAAAAGATAACTTACAGAATGAGAGAAAAATCTTTGCTAGTCACTCTTCTAAAAGAGGATTATATCCAGAAAATATCATGAATTCAAAAAACTTACCACCAAAAAAACCCAAGACCCAATTAATAAATTGTCAAGATTCTTAACTGTAGTCAACAGAAACCAATCTGATTAGTTCAAGAGAAGAATTTGTCAAGCAATAAATAAAAACAGCTTACAGAACCATTGGGAGAGCTGAAGAAACAGACTGCTGGGCAAAGTGCCAGGAACAACACCCCAAAACACACTGCAGACTGGGCTGCCAAGGGAGCTGCTCCCTCAAGGATGGACCAGGAAGCTGCCAAACAAAAGGCACCAGCCAAATCAGGAAGCTGACACTATAGCTGCCAATCCAGACCACATCTGCTCTGTCAAAATGTGTGTCACCAAAAGGATGGGCCGGCTACCCTCAGAACCTGACCTGCTTCTCTCCTTGTGACTACCTTAAACGTCTTGTGCAAGTGCTTTATATCGGGCAAACCTCAGTTCACCAGGGAGACTTAGTTGCGACTGAGGAGAGTGTGGGAAAAGCACTTTTGAGTGTTCTAGTCTCACCATGTCCCAAAGGAACTACAATGGATATGCAAACAGCCAATCAGAATCCAGCCCTTACAGAGCAAGTTCTCTCCACACCCCATGGAGAGGAATTCTCAGAACACTTCTTTATACAAATTCAATATTCTAATACAGTGGGTTCTCAAATCATCTGAGGATCTTATTTAAAATCAGATTCTGAGGGCTGGGGATATAGCTCAGTTGGTAGAGTGCTTGCCTCACATGCACAAGGCCATCAGTTCAATCCCCAGCACCACCACCACCACACACACACACACACACACACACACACACACATAAAAGTAAAATCAGATTTGGAGACTAGGTCTGGAGTAAAGCCTGAGGTTTTCTGTTTCTAACAAGAAATGGTGACACAGACAGTGCTGGTGGAGCAGCCACACTGAGTTTCAAGGGCTCTCACCGTTTCTGTTTTTATTTAAACTAACAACTTTTTTAGTTCTGGGCGGACACAACATCTTTGTTGGTATGTGGTGCTGAGGATCGAACCCGGGCCGCACGCATGCCAGGCGAGCGCGCTACCGCTTGAGCCAC